TCAAAGCTTTTGGAAGTGATTTTATTCTGCCCCAGGACTGAAACATGAAAAACATGATCTGAGGAAGAAGGACCTCACCGAGAGATAAGAGGGAAGAGAGAGAGAGATGGAGAGAGGAGGAGGGAGAGAAGAGGAGGGAGAGAAAAGGAGGGAGAGAAAAGGAGGGAGGGAGAGGGGTTTGAGAGAAGAGATCGTTAAAGAGGGAGTGAGGCTGAAGGGGTAAAGGGTGGAGTGGGGAGAGAAAAAGAAAAAGAGAGATAAAGAGGAGAGGAGGAGGGGTGGAGAGTGTGAAGAAGAGGGAGGAGCGCAAAGGAGAGAGAGAGAGAGGGATGAGCTAAAGAAGAGAGAAAAGAGGAGACATCACTTAATTAAATTAGCATTTGAACCTGATAGATTCAAGTGTAACATTAATGTTAATGAGAGCGACCGACGGAGGGCGAGTTATCTCTCCTCTTTTTTCTCTCCTCCACTCTTCTGTTCTTCATTTCCAAACCCACATCTCCATTCAATAAAGACTTAACCAGGACTAAACCAGAACTAAACCAGGACTAAACCAGGACTAAACCAGGACTAAACCAGGACTGAACCAGGATTAAACCAGGACTAAACCAGGACTGAACTAAAACTAAACCAGGATAGGATTAAACCAGTATAAAACTAAACTAGAAAACTAGGAATAAAGTAGGACTAAACCAGGATTACACCTGGATTGAAACAGGATTAAACCAGGACCAATTCAGGACTAAACCAGGATTGAACTAGGACTAAACTAGGATTAAACCTGAATTGAACCAGGATTAAACCAGCACCAATTCGGGATTGAACCAGGACTAAATCATGACTAAACCAGGATTAAACCTGTAATGAACCAGGATTAAACCAGGACGAATTCGGGATTGAACCATAATTAAACTAGGACTAAACCTGGATTGAACTAGGACTAAACCCAAACTAAACCAGGATTAAACCAGGACCTATTCAGGATTGAACCAGGACTAAACCAAGACTGAATATGGGAAAACTAGGATTAAACCAGGATCAAACCCAGACTGAACCAGTATTAAACCAGGACTAAACGAGGACTAAATAAGAACTCAACCAGGACTGAATCAGGATTAAACCAGGACTAAACCAAAACATGATTAAAACTTGACCAGGACTAAATAAACCTGGACAAAACCAAGACTCTCATGTCCTTAAAATCCCTGTTCCAGATTTTTTTTCCCCCTTATATTTTTCATAAACAGCTGTTGAGGTCAAAAATGTTTGTTCTGCTTCTCATTATTTTCCACAAATCAGGAAAAGTGCAATTAGTAAGATAGTTGTTGTTAACTTTACGACAAAACTGTTTAAAAGTGCAGTTTTCCATGTTTTTCAGACACTCACAGCAAGTCAAAGGTAGAACTAATCTTGGACTAATCTTGGACTAAACCAGGTCTAGAACTAGTATTTGTATTCTGTTCTGTGGGTTTGTGTCCCTTGTGTCCCCATTCGAGCTAAAATGTCTTTCAATTTGCAAAGAGCCTTTTCATTTGAGGCTACGCAATCCCGAGTCTCGCTAAATGAGACTTATCCAATGGAGTTTGTTTTGTCCCGAAGGAAAACGCCGAAGAAAAGGTCAGAACTGAGCACAAGTTATACTCACGGAGCAGAGCTGTGGGGCTGGGGCGTCCTTCTGAGGAGTAAAGTCATATCGATCAGCGGGACGAGAGCCAAGTCCTCCAAATGTCCACACACACATTTACACACACACACACGTACAGGTGAAGAGAGAGAGACTGATTCTGAGGGAAATTCAAGTTCAAGCAACATTTCCACTGCACGTCTCAGTGTCCTTTGTGTCTCAGTGCAGTTTCACAGGAGGTCTGGTCAGAGAGGCTCAGCAGATCCTCCTCTGTGTCCTGCAGCATCACAGCGGTGTTCAAGCTGAACACAACAGTAAAGGCGTCTTCTTAGTGTTTCAGTTGGTGATGAAATTAGGGCCCAACCGATATGGATTTTGTTGTGGCCGATATGAAACCGATATAATGGGAGTTGGAGCTGCCGATATAATCGATGATATATTTAGTGATGTAAACATTCACTGTAAATCTTGAATTGTTTAAAAAACTTAGGTTTGGCTCTAGTAGATTTTAAATTGGGTTTATTTAAGCAACATTTATTGTTATTCTGACTCTTTACGTCATATTTACAGACAGTAGGTTTGACTAATGGCATTTTTGCATCACATTCTAGTAGCTAGTGATGGGTATTCCAGTTCTTTTTAGAGAACCTGCTCTTTTGGGTCCCAAGCAGCTCTTTAGATTGTTTTGTTGCAAGCAGGACTAAACCAGAACTGAATCAGGACTGAAAAAGGACTAAACCAGGACTAAAACAGATCTAAACCATGTGTAAAACAGGACTAAACCAGAACTAAACCAGGACTGAGTGTCGGGACTCTGTATTTCTCTCCCTCTCTCTAGCCCAAGATTAGTCGTGGTTTATTCATTTTATGATGAAC